TCTTCGGAATCGGCTCACACTGAGACACTGACAATCTGCCCATTTACCCTCATTTGGAATTGGCGGGCGATTTAATGTGAATGTGCAAGGGATAGTGGATTCAGCGCTTCGTGTGTCAATGGAATATTACAAAATATTAAGGCTGCAACCTAAAATAGAGACGTTCCCTCACAGTACGTCAAAAATAGGAGAAAGTATGAGAGATAAGGGGTTTTTAGGTCGCGCCACAGAATAAAATAAATAAAAAGTGGAATAAGTGTCACAAGCATAAAATGGAACACAATCTCTTAGTAAAAAACAGAATAGAAGCAATCCAATGGGTACTTACATATATAACAGAACAGCATATAAACGAGTCCTAAAATAAACATGCAGTATTCAGGTCCATTTAAAAAGTGGTAAAAAAGAGGAATAGTCCAAACAGAGAAGTGGTCATCAAATTCTTGTTCCAGGTGGCGATATGTGGATAGAACAGAAGAAAATTCCAATAGTGTAGACTGTAGATGGGGTTTCTTTATGGAGATATAAAACAAAAAAATATCTCACTCACCTATTGTGGAGCTCGAACTAGCTCAGGTATACTTCGCAATCAGCGGTATTGGTCCCCCGCTGATGGGATAAGAGTGCGGTACAAACTAGTGCTCACTGTATGCTTATATATAACAATATAAACGTATATCTGTATATAATACTCACATTTAAGTGAGCAGGAATTACTGCTCACTTTGGTGGCATAGGTGGTATCATCCCCACTAGGATTCTTGAGCAATAAAGGTGCTTGCATAAAAATAGATAAATAACCAGGTCCAGGAATAAAAAAAATAAAAAAATAAAAAATAAAATATGGAAAAGCTAAAATAAAAGGATATATGGCAAAGAAAAAAGAATGTATACTAGCCAATAATCCTTTATTAATATGAGATAAAATAGTAAAATAGCCAAAACGCGTTTCGCCACACAGGGCTTTTTCAACTGGCAATTAGAAACGAATTGAATAAATTAAATACAACTAACTTTAAAGTAAACAGGTCACAATAGCACTGCTACAGAAAACACACCTGAAGCCGACAGATACACACAGGTGAAAAGATAGACACTACCCAGCCAACTGCCATAGCACCCACACTACTGCGCGAAAGGCAGTGGTAGCGATACTTATAGCCGCTAACACCCAGTTCACCCAGACCGACCAACTCGCAGACCCGAATGGTAGATTTCTCTTTATCAAAGGCACGGTATTGCGGAAAACCTACACATTCGCCACAATCTATGCCCCGAATGCAAAACAGGCGACGTTTTTATGCAAGACGATCCACCAACTGGCAACATTTATGGAAGGAATGCTTATCATAGGAGGGGATTTCAACGCACCGCTTGACCCAATAATCGACTCATCGACCGGACACAGCAGTATATCACAAACCGCGATCAGGGCGATAAGGAAGACCCTGCAAGACCTGAGATTAGTAGACGCATGGAGAACCTTACACCCGACAGCCCGGGATTATACGCACTACTCAGCCATACACAGGAGATACTCACATATTGACTGCATTCTCATACAACAAGAAGGCCTGCAACCATTGCAATCGGCGGAGATCCTACCGACACCATGGTCGGACCACAGCGCAGTGTCCATAAGCCTGGATTCCCCTCTGTTCAGACCCACAAGGACGGCGTGGAGATTGAACGAGTCGCTCCTATCAGATCCAGAAGTGAAGACACAATTGACAGAACATCTGAACAACTACTTTACTGAGAACTATACGGAAGACGTATCTAAAGTGACGCTTTGGGAAGCCCACAAGAGTGTGCTCCGTGGACACTTCATAAGGATTGCATTTCGCAAAAAGAAGGAAGCACAGCAACACATGATGGAACTCACCGACCAGATAACAAAACTAGAAACACTGCATAAGCGGACGCAACTAGCGTAGCAATATCGCTCTCTATTACAAAGCCTGCCGGCAGCTAGCAGAACTGGTAGCCCGCAAACACCACAGAGCGACACAGAGGTCCAAAGGCTTTTTCTACATCCACCCAATAAAAGCGGGAAGCTACTGGCCCGTATGATCCGAAACCAACAGGCCAGAGCACAAGTGCATGCACTGCGAACAACCAAGGGCACCCTCACACAATTCCCGAAGGAGATAGCCAACGAATTTTGCGCGTATTACCAACGATTGTATAATACCTCACCAATGACATCCGACACTCAACACGCCGAACTGATAGAGGCTACAACACAATACTTACAAAGATTTTGACCGGACGCTCTAACATCGGAGGAGGCAGACCTACTGGAAGCCCCAATAACTACGGAAGAAATACAAGCGGCGATTAAGGCAGCGAAAAGGGGGAAAGCGCCGGGCCCAGGTGGACTCTCGGCGGGATACTATAAGTTATTTGGAGAAATTCTGAACCCACACCTAATGGCTGCCCTCAACCAACTCCAGAAGGGGGACAAATTCCACCAGGAAACTCTGGCAGCCACAATCACTGTGATACCCAAACCTGGTAAAAAAAAACCCGAAAGCTGCAGCAATTATCGGCCAATCTCGCTCCTTAACGCCGATGTGAAACTCTTCACCAAAGTCATTGCGACAAGATTACAAAAATACGTACCACGATTGGTCCACCCTGACCAAACAAGTTTCATACCAGTCCGAGAAGCCAGGAACTGCACCCTGCGGGCGTTTACCATCCAGGCATTGGCCCTTAAAGAGAGAACAGATCTACTAATGCTCTCCACGGATGCCGAAAAGGCATTTGATCGGGTAACATGGAGCTTCATGATGGCAACACTGCATAAGGTTGGCCTGGGGAGAGGAATGATTACCTGGATAGAGGCGCTTTACACTGCCCCTAGTGCCAGGGTGCGGGTAAATGGAGCACTCACAAACGGCTTTACCATTCACAACGGCACCAGGCAGGGCTGCCCGCTGTCACCACTCCTGTTTGCTCTTACATTGGAACCGTTCCTGGACAGAATACGGCAAACGCCGGAGATCCGAGGGTTTAAACACAAGGACCAGGAACATAAGGTAGCTGCATATGCAGACGATATGCTCTTTTTCATGGAAAGTCTCCTAAGCTCAATGCCGGCACTGATGGAGGAATTCGACACCTACGGACGGATATCGGGGCTGAAGCTAAACCAAACTAAATGCGAACTCCTGAACGTGGCAACCTCGTCGGCAGTGAGAGAACGGATCAAGCGCAGATACCCCTTCCACTGGTGTACAGAACAAATGCGCTATCTGGGAATTTGGATCCCCAGCAACCCGAAAGAGCTATATGCCAGGAATTACACTCCCCTCCTATGCACGATACTGCTGGATCTGAAAAACTGGAACTATGACCACATATCGTGGCAGGGAGGATAGCATGAACATCCAACCACGGCTGCTCTATTGCTTCAGCACTATTCCATGGCACATAACCCTGGACTTCTTTGTGACACGCAAAACGGCGGTAATAAAATACGTCTGGAGAGGAGACAGAGCACGACTCAGCTATGACAAATTATGCCTGCCCAAAGCCTTGGGTGGACTAGCACTACCAGACTTCCGCAAATACTACCAGGCAACGGTGCTACAGCGGATTCGGGAATGGCATACAGCGTCCGCAAACAAACTATGGGCAGCCCTAGACAGAGAGAGCACGAACAAGGCCCTCGGCACATATATCTGGCAAGGCTCGGCCGATGCGGCACAAAAATTAGGCAACGAATCACCCATTGTACAGACGCTAAAGACGTGGACATCCCTGAGAAGGAACCAACACATTTCTCCTCAACCGAGTCCCCTGATTCTGATAACATACAACAGTGAGCTAGGTGGGGGACTACACCCATCCGCCTGGCCAATAGAAGGAGACGGAGACTACATACCGCTGACCGAGGCCCTGAACAATACAGGGCTGAGAAGCCTATGAGAGTGGAGAACAGCAACACAACAGACGTTAATGCACAGATTTCACTATGCACAACTGAGGCACTTTTACTACAACCTGCCCAACAGGGAAGCAGTGCACAGGGAGGAGACGTGGTTCGAACACCTATGTGTGACCAACACCGATGTGGAAGGCAGAGTATCAATCATCTATCAGCAGCTGATCACAGGAGACCACACGAGGAAAAATGAGTTTAAGAGGCAATGGGAAGAGATGACAGATAGGACATACACAGAAGCACAATGGGAACAGATATTAATCCTACAGCACAAAAGCTCCATAAGTACAAGGTATCAAGAGGTCAACTTCAAGCTGATTTCTCAATGGTACAGGACTCCCTCTCTACTACACAGAATATTTAAGGGAGCCACAGATACATGTTGGAGATGCGAAACCCAAACAGGCACCCTACGGCAAATCTGGTGGGACTGCACGCTGATTAAGCCATACTGGGAAGACATAAAAAAAAGGGAGGTGACGACAATCTTGGGAGAAATACCAGAATTTAACATAGAAATGGCTCTTCTACACTACACTGAAAGCTCGATAGCCCAACACAAACGATCGATACTAAGACACCTGCTTAACACAGCAAAGGCATCAATACCGGCCAGATGGAAACAAACCCAACCACCCACCATCGCAGAATGGCTACAGAGAGTTGAGGAGATACACACAGAAGAGGCGCGATACGCAGAACTACTAGGGAGAGGCACCAAGCATGTCGACATCTGGACCCCATGGTATGTCTATCTCTCACAAGACAGAACTTAGGGAGACACACGAACAAAACACTGCTCCTAGGGAATCGGGATGCCCGGGCGCGCCTTGACACATGTCATCCTCACCCCCCCTTTCCTGACCCACCCCCCCCACCCTCTTTTTCTTCACATCACTTTCCGAGGGATTCCGCAAACAACAGTATAACTTACGTCCGGGAAGGTCGGAGCCGAATTCTCTGATGTACAATATCTAGACATGATATGAAGCAACATGGACATGCTACATTGCCATAGGCAAAGGCCGAAAGGACAGAAGCAAGGACAGGAACAGGCCCATAGAGATCTAGTCTCCAAGACATAACCCACACATAGACTGATGAGAGGACAGGAGATTGGCCGCCACTCTATGGCAAATAAGGGCGACTAGATGCGAATACAACTCACATATGAACAACGAGATACACAAACACAAGGTCAGGCTCACTAGAAGACAAAAGATAGGAACACAGGCATGACAAAAAACAGAAAGAGGCTTATATCGCATACTAGAAGGAGGCATAGTCTGCTTACTGAACTTAAACACGCATATTTAGATTAAATAGCTAATAACGTAACGTAATGCATCAATCAGCCAATTAATCACACTTCTCAGAGTCTCATTGACTGCTAGATGAAAGCAGACCTGCCCAATAAATACTAGTGGACAAATTGGGAATGCTGACGCGCAGCAGCTAGCAGGCCTCCTAGACGAGACCACACACGATCTGACACATTGACGGGAGGTACCGAGCTCACACATCCCAAACCGGACCATCAACGAATACACACAAGACGCACAGACCCTAACCGCATCAAGATTACCTTTGCCCAGGTTGACCAAAGTAAGATGAGCAACATAAAGCTTTAATACAGTAATTTAAGGAACACCAAATTTGCCTCAGCGTCCAATTCAGTACAGATAAACGAATCGGGTGAACCCCGAAAACAGACAGCACTATGTGCAAGATTGCACAACCATTCTCACTGTCAATTGTCAACTCCAACACATCCCTAGTTGAACACCACAATTTTCGTGAAACTTCATGTAAATATGAAAGCAACTACAGATGAAAGAGCTATGCTGTAAAATTGTATAATTGAAATTTAAATTGTTTAACTGTAATTATTGCTCCTAACTCTCCCTACTTCTCTTTATTTCTGTGCCCGAATTGAACTTGAAATAAAAATTGTCAAATTAAAAAAAAATTTTTTTTAAATACAACTGTCTGCCAAGAGAGAAATTATACCATTATAGCCCATGATTTTAGACTCCCATGATTTGCTTTTTATAATGTACTAAAGAGTTATGATTCTCCCTGAATCTAAATTCTGTATTTTGAAGCTAACAAGTCTCCAACAGTTTGTTTGAATACAATAGAGTATGCAACCTCTAGAAAGGATTGGTTACTTTGTAAACCTGTAGGATCTTACTGTCCAAAGGTGAAGTAGGAGCTTACATTCCAGATTCTAAACCCTCCCCTGAGGAGATCAGCAGCTTCAGAAACCTGGAGAAACCACTGCACTTATTACATTATTGCCTCTGTGACTGTTATCTTTACCCTATAATGATATTAGTATGATCAGTGCTATATTTACACAGAAGGGAATGTTATCAGAACACATACACATATATGTAGTATTGCCTCTTGTAGGAAATAACCATTAGAAAAGGTTTGGACACTCCTCAGCTAAACAACATTGTCCAATATTGGTATGCGAACGCTAAAGTAGAAACTTCCACTTTATCATATCAGTGCCGACCAGATGCTTACCATGGGACAGAGCCAGGGAACTCCTTGCACCATAGCCACTACAGTAAACTGTAGTGGTTATACTACTTAGAGTATCCCTTTAATATTTTGGTTTATATTCATAAATCA